TCCCTTGATGACTGGAACGATCAAAGCCACATCTCTTGATGACTGGTTCTATCAGATCCACATCTCTTAATGACTGGTTCGATCAGAGGCACATTTCATGATGACTGGATCGATCAGAGCCACATCTCTTGATGACGGCATCGATCAGAGCCACATCTCTTGATGACTGGTTCGATCAGAGCCACATCTCTTGATGACTGGTTCGATCAGAGCCACATCTCTTGATGACTGGTTCTATCAAAGCCACATCTCTTGATGACTGGATCGATCAGAGCCACATCTCATGATGACTGGTTCTTTCAAACCCACGTATCTTGATGACTGGATCGATCAGAGCCACATCTCTTGATTACTGGTTCTTTCAAACCCACGTATCTTGATGACTGGATCGATCAGAGCCACATCTCTTGATGACTACATCGATCAGAGCCACATCTCTTGATGACTGCAGCGATCAGAGCCACATCTCTTGATGACTGCAGCGATCAGAGCCACATCTCTTGATGACTGCAGCGATCAGAGCCATATCTCTTGATGACTGCATCGATCAGAGCCACATATCTTGATGACTTGATCCATCAGAGCCACATCTCTTGATGACTGGTTCGATCAGAGCCACATCCCTTGATGACTGGTTCTATCAAAGCCACATCTCTTCATGACTGCATCGATCAGAGCCACATCTCTTCATGACATATTCGGTCAGAGCCACATCTCTTGATGACTGGTTCTATCAGAGCCACATCTCTTGATGACTGATTCGATCAGAGCCACATCTCTTGATGACTGGTTCTATCAGAGCCACATCTCTTGATGACTGAATCGATCAGAGCCACAAATCTTGATGAATGGTTCGATCAGAGCCACATCTCTTGATGGCTGGATCGATCAGAGCCACAAATCTTGATGAATGGTTCGATCAGAGCCACATCTCTTGATGACTGGTTCTATCAGAGCCACATCTCTTGATGACTGATTCGATCAGAGCCACATCTCTTGATGACTGGTTCTATCAGAGCCACATCTCTTGATGGCTGCATCGAACAGAGCCACATCCCTTGATGACTGAATCGATCAGAGCCACAAATCTTGATGAATGGTTCTATCAGAGCCACATCTCTTGATGACTGATTCGATCAGAGCCACATCTCTTGATGACTGGTTCTATCAAAGCCACATCTCTTGATGACTGGTTCTATCAGAGCCACATCTCTTGGTGACTGCATCTATCAGAGCCACATCTCTTGATGACTGAATCGATCAGAGCCACAAATCTTGATGAATGGTTCTATCAGAGCCACATCTCTTGATGACTGATTCGATCAGAGCCACATCTCTTGATGACTTGTTCTATCAGAGCCACATCTCTTGATGACTGCATCGATCAGAGCCACATCTCTTGATGACTGCATCGATCAGAGCCACATCTCTTGATGACTGAATCGATCAGAGCCACATCTCTTGATGGCTTGATCGATCAGAGCCACAAATCTTGATGGCTGGTTCGACCAGAGCCACATCTCTTGATGACTGGTTCTATCAAAGCCATATCTCTTGATGACTGGTTCTATCAGAGCCACATCTCTTGATGACTGGTTCTATCAGAGCCACATCTCTTGATGACTGATTCGATCAGAGCCACATCTCTTGTTGACTGAACACTGTTCTCTATTTAAGGTTATTGGAAAATAGGAATGAACAAAAATGCTCTATTGGGTGTCGGGTTGTGTGTTGTTACAGCGTAAAAGTGTTATGCAACCTTCTTTTTTAAAGCAGGTCACTTCTACTGATATGCCCAGATCAATTAGAGCAAAATTGTAATGACGGAATTGATCAGAGCCACTTCTATTGATGACTGGATCGATCAGAGCCACATCTCTTGATGACTGGATCGATCAGAGCCACATCTCTTGATGACTGGTTCGATCAGAGCCACATCTCTTGATGACTGGTTCGATCAGAGCCACATCTCTTGATGACTGGTTCCATCAGAGCCACATCTCTTGATGACTGGTTCGATCTGAGCCACATATCTTGATGACTGAATCGAACAGAGCCACATCTCTTTTTGACTGGTTCTATCAAAGCCACATCTCTTGATGACTGAATCGATCAGAGCCACATCTCTTGATTATTGGATCGATCAGAGCCACATCTCATGATGACTGGATCGATTAGCGCCACATCCCTTGATGACTGGAACGATCAAAGCCACATCTCTTGATGACTGGTTCGATCAGATCCACATTTCTTAACGACTGGTTCGATCAGAGGCACATTTCATGATGACTGGATCGATCAGAGCCACATCTCTTGATGATGGCATCGATCAGAGCCACATATCTTGATGACTGGTTCGATCAGAGCCACATCTCTTGATGACTGGTTCGATCAGAGCCACATCTCTTGATGACTGGTTCGATCAGAGCCACATCTCTTGATGACTGGTTCGGTCAGCGCCACATCT